CATAACCAGCTCATCCTGCTTGCTGCCTTTTGACACTCCCGCTCCACCGCTGCCTTCGCCACCTCTCCTATGAGCCAAAAAACAATGACTCAGTCAACCCCCCCCTATCTAAATCTCCCGTACTTTTTTATCACTTCCCAAAATGTTGGGGCCCCTTTCCTTGATTCCCTCTTTTCCCCCCCCAAAACCATCCTTTTCCCGTTATTTCCCTCCTTCCCTATCCTTTTTCCCTTCCCTCTTACGACAGATCTCGCGCCTCGTTCGATTCGGGCTCTATTCTGCAACACGCAAGCCCTGATGCGTTTTGATGCAACACGAAAGACCAGACTATTACAACTCCCACCGTGGTTATTTGCAATTTTTCGCCGTTTGTATTATTGCATAAAAGTAACTAAAGTGGGGGAAAATCAATGACCAAGAAGGGTACTTTTAACGTACAGGCATCAGGATGAAGGACACAAAAATTGTCAAAGAGCATTATTAGAGAGTAAAAAAACCACGTGTCAAACTTCCGATTGAGTCTAACCGATACACACACTTACGCACCTATATTATTGATACTTGAAGTCGGGGCCGGATCACCACTTGGGGTCGTACGTTGGGCTACGGGGGTCATAGTAACACCTGGGTTTATCAGGCCCCCCATCCAAACCGGGGGGCCTGGGCGTAGACGGGGCCGCTGGGAAAGGGTTTATCCCCGGGAATAACCCCAGGTAGACTCCCGACTACTTTTTCTACACTTTTCACATAAAGTATCAGATGGGACATATTCTTAGGGGAAACATAAATCTCTTGAAGACACCAAAGAAAACTGGAAACCAACACTGGGTCCTCCCACTTTCCTTTTCACTCTCTAAATTTAAAAAATATTTCGACATAAAAGAAGATAAGAAATAAATGGGGTTAAGAGAAGATTTCAGCCACGGGTGTGGTTTGAAGACGCGCCGCAATATTGTTAAGGGGGAAATGAGGGAGATAAGAAGAGAGTTCTAGGGGCCCCGCCTCTGAAGGAGACCCCCTCTTTAAGGAGACCACCTCTTAAGGGGAACCCCCTCTTTAAAGAGACCCCCCTCAAGAACAAGACCAACCCCCTGGAAATGTGTCAGCATTTTAGGAGGAACACTAGAAAAACAACAGGTTTATTAGACCATTGTAGTCGTACAAGCTATTTTCACGTCTTTTCAAAAGATTAGATAATAAAATGACAGAAAAACCCTTCTAGGCTATTGGGCCCTTACGGTTTAGCATAACCAAGGAATTTAAAAACAATAATTAAGCATTAATATGGAAATTTTAGGAATTTTTTTGGATTTGTGTGTAGTAAAGAAAAATAAGAATTGTTTAAAGAAAACTAAGAGTATTAACGCTTTGCAATTTCATAACAATCTACATAAGACACAGACCGGAAATTAATTGATCTGTATATTTCGACCCGTTTTAGGGGTCCCCCTTTAGCAGGGGAACGAAAAAGACAACTTAATCTCTATTTTTTTTTCTCCATGTAATTATAAATTTAAACATGAATAAAATTCATTAAAACAGCGGGGGAGAGTTGAACAGTTTGGTCATTTAAGAGAAAGGTTTGGGAAAGAGGGCGAACAAATCCAAGGGGACATGGGAAAGGTGTTTTAGGAGTCTCAGGAAGGATTGGGGGCGTAGTTAAGGGCCCAATGATAAACTTTTACATCCGTAGGTGTGTAGCATTGGGTCATAGTGGGTAGAACCCAATTTTTGGGTAAAGAATGTGTTGGGACAAAATTTAAAATTTTTTATAGGGTTCGGAGATACTTTTTTCCAGACTGGATTTGGAGGGGGGAATGGGGGCCTGAACTCTGAAAATGTTGGAATGTTTTAGTTCAGGGGCCATTTTAACTAAACCACACACTTCCCCCAACCAGCTGTTCAATGTGGGTTTTCCTTTTTTTGGTTACCGTACCTTAATGGGAAACGTTTTAGCTAAAAACTTGTATCATATTGCATGTAAATTAAAATAACTTTTCTCCTTTTTATATTTTTACTAATTAAATGTTTTGATTCATTCATTAATCTTTTTAAAACGTTATGTTTCTCAAGCTTTTTGCGCGTTCAGAGTAAGGCGGTAATTTAGTTTTTTCTTTGCAGAGATAATAGCCCTCACCGCCAAAATTGACTTAAATAGTTTTAAGAACAAATAAGAAGCGCAGCTTAGAGGGCCCCCGCTGTGTAAGCTCCAGTTGTCTATGTGGACCTGCAACCCAAAATCCACCCCTCCACCACACCCCAACATCCACCCCCCACGCTGCGCCAAAATCCACCTCCTCCATGCAGCAACATCCCCACCACCACACACACAGTGTGTTTTTCAAAGGAACCACAGTGGTGTTTCAGACTTTAAGGGGGGGAATAACGCCAGCCCCCGTGTTCAACACCTCTGACTATTTCCCCCGAAGCCGGTAATAGTAAAAGCCTCTGACGCCAACCGGGCAGGTAAATCAGGGCAGATGATTACAGCTGTAATCAGTAAAACAATTCATGAATTTAAAACCTTTTTTAAAGCGATTTAAATATTGTCAAATATTTTTTAAAAAAATTTCCCAAAATTTGTCATTTTCGTATGTTTTTGATTAATACCTTTTTCAAGGAGAACTCAAAACTAACTATTTACAACGGCAAATTGTGGCTTTGATTTTTACGAACAGGAAGAAGCGAACTGAAAACAAATGAAAACCCACAAGTGCTTATTTAAAGACCTTTAAACAAGAAAAGCCTTTTTTCAAGACGTCGCACACGTTTGACTTTTATCGCGTACAGAGAAAATTTAAAATAAACACACTTTTAAAAGGGTGGATTTTTGTCTGTGTGAATGACTTTTTATTTGACAAAAGCACCAGTTAGCTCGCATTAAAAAGGATCTTTCCCCCGTTAAATAAAGTCTTTGAAATGTACGTAAAAGAGCAGTCAAAAAAAAAAAAAAAAATTACGTACCCCAGAGGTTTCGAACCTTATCTGGGGGTTACAAGTGCATGTTGCTGTGTTTCTCTGGCAACACGCAAAACCCCCTGGTCAGAGCCTAACACGTATAGCTCACGTAAAAATTATGGACAATCTATGGTTTTTTTGGACCCAGTTTATGGTGTAAGGGGGTGTCTTGTCTAGATTTTGGTTACACTCATGATGTCTGACACTTCAGTAATTTGTAAGTCAGGGGGAGGACTTCAGCACCACAACGGAAAACCCTAATAAATTTTTTTTTTTGAAGTCTGTGCTAACATAATTGCTTAAGGCTTTTATTACCTTTAAAACATAAGGATGTTTTACGATGTTAAATTTTCACAGGGGGTGGAAGATTATATCGATCTTCAGGTGACGCCCTCTAACACGAATTAATTTCGAGAATTTTAAATAAATTTTTAAAAAAATGTTTAAAATAAATTTTTTTAGGCATTGCAAATTTTGCAAAGATCCTCAGTATACTTGAAATCAATTTTCTTTGATTTAAATTTTAAAATTACAGCACAGTGCGGTTTTTCAGCAGCTCTTAGACCAGTAATGAAATATTGTGTTTGTAAAACTTCGGACCTCCAGCATACGTTCCTCTATGGCACTATATACATGTTAATATTTAGTAGACACCTGTGACTGCACTCTAGACCTCTTAACAGTCCTTAGTGACTGACCTTTTTCTGATGAAAAAATTGACATTTTTTAATAATAAATATAAAGATGTCCTTCCATTGTAGATTTTGGGTGGGGAGTCTGTTTTAAGATAGATACTAAAAAATTTGTTAAGCAGTTGCAAAATGTAAAGACAAGCACCATTGGGGAAGAATTTTAAAATGGACTGCTAAGGAAAATATCAATTGCAAAATCTATAAGATTAATGTGTGAAGGGGTTTCAGATTTTCTTCCTATTTTAGAACCCAAACTTTTAAAAGTCAAAAAGATAGATAACAATAAAGTCTGATGAGAAGTCCTTAATCATAACATAAGAAAGTCTGTAAAAAAGGGTGTTTGCTTTTTATGGACCAAGGGATTCCATGCCCCTAGGTCTTCCAAATTAACAATTTTAGGTGGGTTGAAAGGGCGTAATATGGGTTGACGTTTTTAGTGAATAAAATTATATGGGCGTTTAATTTTCTTGTATTGAAGTCGTTTGTCAAATAATTTAAATTTAAAACTTTTTCAGTAGTAAATATGGGGGGCTTTTTGCGTTGTCTTCCATGTTGTTGGCCTGCCACAAGAACACAGTAAATGTATGCAAGCAATAACATCACTGTTTTTTTTCATTATCCCCCTTTTGTCTACCATTTCTTCAAACTCCCCAAAATTCAGACCTGGTGACACCTCATAAAAACCTCTCTGTCGTTGTTGAATGCTGTTTGCTGTCGTCTTTAATTACACACTATGATTTGGGGACTTTCTGTTATCCCGTTTTTTTCCAATGAAACGTCATTTTTGAACCTGGATCACAAATGCCAATAAGAGACGGTTTTCTCGGGGTCTTGCGGGTTTCCCCCCCATTCATTATCCCTCACCAGACAGAGACGAGTAAAGAGTGAGACATGCCTTGCTCTGGCTCCGCACTCTAATTCTTCAATGTCTTTTTCTGATTGGCTAAAACTGAGCAAGTTTTCTTTTGTAAATTATATATATTACATCCAAATGCAAAGTAATGAATGTATGTATTGCTAGTAAGTTGAATTGTGTACGTGTTATATAACTACTTTAAGATCATGTTTTGCACCGACTCGTTGAAAAATATTAAATATCTATTATATCTTAATATTTTAGTATATAAGAATATTTTTTTTCTTAATTGTGAGTGCTTGGACTCTGTTGTAAACCTTTGATGTTAGGATCTACGTGTACAGAAGTATATGTAAATTATTTGTCAAAATGGAAATTTAATACTTTTAATGTTGTGATTTACATAATCGTGTATCTTGAACACAGGTAACATCAATGTGAGTACAAAGTTCAATGTTCCATAAAATAGTTTTCTTTTTTTGACTCTTGTACAGGTAGAAACTCAAGGTGAGTGTTACGAAAAGGACTCTCAAACCTACAATATGGTCAGCAAACATGTACTACATCTTTTCTTGGGGGGCGATTAAGCCACTCTCCCTTTTTTCCCCTCATGATTTCGGTGAATCTTCATTGTAGGTCATTTTAAATCATCGTCTCGTAGTCGTGTTGTAAAATAACTCTTTAATAAAGGAACTGTCTGAAGTACTCAATTTTGTCCTCTACGGGCTTGGGGACGCTTCTCTCTGTATCTTTCTTATTGAATCTCGCTCACCTGAAGCCTGGGACGCTAAGTATGTTATAAAGACATTCAGTTACTTTAAACAACCATTCATACATATTACATATGAACATTTTTAATCATAAATGTATCTGAGTAGCTAAACACACATACACACAGAGTATACACGAGCAAGTACACATTAGTCACTTTCATACAGAGATACACACAAGTAGATGTGTAACAGTCACTTCTGCACACAATATTGCAACACATACACACACAGTATTGCAACACATACACAAGGTGGAACATCCACATACAATATTGCAACGCAAACACACACAAGGTGGAAGGTCTACACACAATATTGCAGCACATACACACCCACACACACACACACACACACGAGGTGGATCATCCACACACACAATACTGCAACACACACACACACAGAAACACACAAGATGGAGCACCCACGCACAATATTGCAACCCCTATTGCGCCCCTTCTATATGGTTCTCTTTTTTTCACCACGAGGCCTGGTCTCAGACCGAGACGCGGGGGCGTTGACCCCCGAAACCCTCTCCAGGTATACTCCAGGTATACACACACACACACACACACACACACACACACACACACACACAAGGTGGTGCATCCAGCAATTACAGCTGTAAACAGAGACTTCTCTATTGGACTTCTCTATTGAACATCAATTTGTACACGAGGATTACATCTCGTTCATTCCTTACTTTCTGTGGCTTTACCATATCTGATTAAGTACATGAAGATGTAATACTTAATCTTTGAAATAAAAACATAAAAAAACAATTATCGTTGTTTTGCTTTAAACCAAGAAAATCAATACGATGTTTAAAATAGGTCAAAAGTTCAATGAGGTGGTTAACGATATCGTCATACAGGGAGGTCATACACACGGTGTATGACCTCTATGTGTATATATGCTGAGAGTTTATTCCTAAATTTAGGGATGTCACCTATTCACTGGTGGTGAATAGGTGACATGCAGCCTAAATAGCTCTTTGTGTAGTCGATAGGCTATAAACCCAATTAATAAAAAATCTCTGATTTATCCAAAATTTCTTGAGTTATAAACTGATCACTTACAAGGTCACGAACCAGCTGTCAGCTAGCACCCAGGTGCTTGCTTACTGCTAGGTGAACACGGACAACAGGTGTAAAGAACCACTTACTAGGTCACGAACCAGCTGTCAGCTAGCACCCAGGTGCTTGCTTACTGCTAGGTGAACACGGACAACAGGTGCAAAGAGCCACTTACAAGGTCACGAACCAGAGTTTTCCAAGATAAAGAAATAAAGGCGTTACGTGCAGAGAATCTTTATTTACAAAGACGTTTCGTTCTAAGTAAAGCTTTGATGATGCTCTATTTGGAGCGAAACGTCGTGTATATATAAAGGCATTAATTAAAACAATGAAAAACAATATTAGAGCAGAATCGCCTATAATATAATACAAGTATAATGCAGCATTAGAAAGTTACAACAGCATAGAATTAGAAAGTTACAACAGCATAGAATTAGAAAGTTACAACAGCATAGAATTAGAAAGTTACAACAGCATAGAATTAGAAAGTTACAACAGCATAGAATTAGAAAGTTACAACAGCATAGAATTAGAAAGTTACAACAGCATAGAATTACAAAGTTACAAAAGCATAGAATTAGAAAGTTACAACAGCATAGAATTAGAAAGTTACAACAGCATAGAATTAGAAAGTTACAACTGCATAGAATTAGAAAGTTACAACAGCATAGAATTAGAAAGTTACAACAGCATAGAATTAGAAAGTTACAACAGCATAGAATTAGAAAGTTACGACAGCATAGAATTAGAAAGTTACAACAGCATAGAATTAGAAAGTTACAACAGCATAGTATTAGAAAGTTACAACAGCATAGAATTAGAAAGTTACAACAGCATAGAATTAGAAAGTTACAACAGCATAGAATTAGAAAGTTACAACTGCATAGTATTAGAAAGTTACAACAGCATAGTATTAGAAAGTTACAACAGCATAGAATTAGAAAGTTACAACAGCATAGTATTAGAAAGTTACAACAGCATAGTATTAGAAAGTTACAACAGAATAGAATTAGAAAGTTACAACAGCATAGTATTAGAAAGTTACAACAGCATAGTATTAGAAAGTTACAACAGCAATAGAATTAGAAAGTTACAACTGCATAGTATTAGAAAAGTTACAACAGCATAGTATTAGAAAGTTACAACAGCATAGAATTAGAAAGTTACAACATGCATAGTATTAGAAAGTTACAACAGCATAGTATTAGAAAGTTACAACAGAATAGAATTAGAAAGTTACAACAGCATAGAATTAGAAAGTTACAACAGCATAGAATTACAAAGTTACAAAAGCATAGAATTAGAAAGTTACAACAGCATAGAATTAGAAAGTTACAACAGCATAGAATAGAAAGTTACAACTGCATAGAATTAGAAAGTTACAACAGCATAGAATTAGAAAGTTACAACAGCATAGAATTAGAAAGTTACAACAGCATAGATTAGAAAGTTACGACAGCATAGAATTAGAAAGTTACAACAGCATAGAATTAGAAAGTTACAACAGCATAGTATTAGAAAGTTACAACAGCATAGAATTAGAAAGTTACAACAGCATAGAATTAGAAAGTTACAACAGCATAGAATTAGAAAGTTACAACTGCATAGTATTAGAAAGTTACAACAGCATAGATTTAGAAAGTTACAACAGCATAGAATTAGAAAGTTACAACAGCATAGTATTAGAAAGTTACAACAGCATAGTATTAGAAAGTTACAACAGAATAGAATTAGAAAGTTACAACAGCATAGTATTAGAAAGTTACAACAGCATAGTATTAGAAAGTTACAACAGCATAGAATTAGAAAGTTACAACTGCATAGTATTAAGAAAGTTACAACAGCATAGTATTAGAAAGTTACAACAGCATAGAATTAGAAAGTTACAACAGCATAGTATTAGAAAGTTACAACAGCATAGTATTAGAAAGTTACAACAGCATAGAATTAGAAAGTTACAACAGCATAGAATTAGAAAGTTAACAACAGCATAGTATTAGAAAGTTACAACAGCATAGTATTAGAAAGTTACAACAGCATAGAATTAGAAAGTTACAACAGCATAGTATTAGAAAGTTACAACAGCATAGTATTAGAAAGTTTACAACAGCATAGTATAGAAAGTTACAACAGCATAGAATTAGAAAGTTACAACTGCATAGTATTAGAAAGTTACAACAGCATAGTATTAGAAAGATTACAACTGCATAGAATTAGAAAGTTACAACAGCATAGTATTAGAAAGTTACAACAGCATAGTATTAGAAAGTTACAACAGCATAGAATTAGAAAGTTACAACAGCATAGTATTAGAAAGTTACAACAGCATAGTATTAGAAAGTTACAACAGCATAGAATTAGAAAGTTACAACAGCATAGTATTAGAAAGTTACAACAGCATAGTATTAGAAAGTTACAACAGCATAGTATTAGAAAGTTACAACAGCATAGTATTAGAAAGTTACAACAGCATAGAATTAGAAAGTTACAACTGCATAGTATTAGAAAGTTACAACAGCATAGTATTAGAAAGTTACAACAGCATAGAATTAGAAAGTTACAACAGCATAGTATTAGAAAGTTACAACAGCACAACATAAGAAAGTTTCAACAGCACAACATTAGAAAGTTTTAATAGCACAATGTTAGAAAGTTTTAACAGCACAACATTAGAAAGTTTTAAAGGCACAACATTAGAAAGTTTTAACAGCACAATGTTAGAAAGTTTCAACAGCACAACATTAGAAAGTTTTAACAGCACAATGTTAGAAAGTTTTAACAGCACAACATTAGAAAGTTTTAACGGCACAACATTAGAAAGTTTTAACAGCACAATGTTAGAAAGTTTCAACAGCACAACATTAGAAAGTTTTAATGGCACAATGTTAGAAAGTTTCAACAGCACAACATTAGAAAGTTTTAACAGCACAATGTTAGAAAGTTTCAACAGCACATTAGAAAGTTTTAACAGCACAATGTTAGAAAGTTTCAACAGCACAACATTAGAAAGTTTTAAACGGCACAACATTAGAAAGTTTTAACAGCACAATGTTAGAAAGTTTCAACAGCACAGCATTAGAAAGTTTTAACAGCACAACATTAGAAAGTTTCAACAGCACAACATTAGAAAGTTTCAACAGTACAGTATTAGAAAGTTTCAACAGCACAACATTAGAAAGTTTCAACAGTACAGTATTAGAAAGTTTCAACAGTACAGTATTAAAAGTTTCAACAGCACAACATTAGAAAGTTTCAACAGCACAACATTAGAAAGTTTCAACAGCACAACATTAGAAAGTTTCAACAGTATAGTATTAGAAAGTTTCAACAGTACAGTATTAGAAAAGTTTCAACAGTACAGTATTAGAAAGTTTCAACAGCACAACATTAGAAAGTTTCAACAGCACAACATTAGAAAGTTTCAACAGCACAACATTAGAAAGTTTCAACAGTATAGTATTAGAAAGTTTCAACAGTACAGTATTAGAAAGTTTCAACAGCACAACATTAGAAAGTTTCAACAGCACAATATTAGAAAGTTTCAACAGTACAGTATTAGAAAGTTTCAACAGTACAGTATTAGAAAGTTTCAACAGTACAGTATTAGAAAGTTTCAACAGCACAACATTAGAAAGTTTTAACAGTACAGTATTACAGTATTAGAAAGTTTCAACAGCACAATATTAGAAAGTTTTAACAGCACAATGTTAGAAAGTTTTAACAGCACAACATTAGAAAGTTTTAACGGCACAACATTAGAAAGTTTTAACAGCACAATGTTAGAAAGTTTCAACAGCACAACATTAGAAAGTTTTAATGGCACAATGTTAGAAAGTTTCAACAGCACAACATTAGAAAGTTTTAACAGCACAATGTTAGAAAGTTTCAACAGCACAACATTAGAAAGTTTTAACAGCACAATGTTAGAAAGTTTCAACAGCACAACATTAGAAAGTTTTAACGGCACAACATTAGAAAGTTTTAACAGCACAATGTTAGAAAGTTTCAACAGCACAGCATTAGAAAGTTTTAACAGCACAACATTAGAAAGTTTCAACAGCACAACATTAGAAAGTTTCAACAGTACAGTATTAGAAAGTTTCAACAGCACAACATTAGAAAGTTTCAACAGTACAGTATTAGAAAGTTTCAACAGTACAGTATTAGAAAGTTTCAACAGCACAACATTAGAAAGTTTCAACAGCACAACATTAGAAAGTTTCAACAGCACAACATTAGAAAGTTTCAACAGTATAGTATTAGAAAGTTTCAACAGTACAGTATTAGAAAGTTTCAACAGTACAGTATTAGAAAGTTTCAACAGCACAACATTAGAAAGTTTCAACAGCACAACATTAGAAAGTTTCAACAGCACAACATTAGAAAGTTTCAACAGTATAGTATTAGAAAGTTTCAACAGTACAGTATTAGAAAGTTTCAACAGCACAACATTAGAAAGTTTCAACAGCACAATATTAGAAAGTTTCAACAGTACAGTATTAGAAAGTTTCAACAGTACAGTATTAGAAAGTTTCAACAGTACAGTATTAGAAAGTTTCAACAGCACAACATTAGAAAGTTTTAACAGTACAGTATTACAGTATTAGAAAGTTTCAACAGCACAATATTAGAAAGTTTCAACAGTACAGTATTAGAAAGTTTCAACAGCACAACATTAGAAAGTTTTAACAGTACAGTATTACAGTATTAGAAAGTTTCAACAGCACAACATTAGAAAGTTTTAACGGCACAACATTAGAAAGTTTTAACAGCACAATGTTAGAAAGTTTCAACAGCACAGCATTAGAAAGTTTTAACAGCACAACATTAGAAAGTTTCAACAGCACAACATTAGAAAGTTTCAACAGTACAGTATTAGAAAGTTTCAACAGCACAACATTAGAAAGTTTCAACAGTACAGTATTAGAAAGTTTCAACAGCACAACATTAGAAAGTTTCAACAGTACAGTATTAGAAAGTTTCAACAGCACAACATTAGAAAGTTTCAACAGCACAACATTAGAAAGTTTCAACAGCACAACATTAGAAAGTTTCAACAGTATAGTATTAGAAAGTTTCAACAGTACAGTATTAGAAAGTTTCAACAGTACAGTATTAGAAAGTTTCAACAGCACAACATTAGAAAGTTTCAACAGCACAACATTAGAAAGTTTCAACAGCACAACATTAGAAAGTTTCAACAGTATAGTATTAGAAAGTTTCAACAGTACAGTATTAGAAAGTTTCAACAGCACAACATTGGAAAGTTTCAACAGCACAACATTAGAAAGTTTCAACAGCACAACATTAGAAAGTTTCAACAGTATAGTATTAGAAAGTTTCAACAGTACAGTATTAGAAAGTTTCAACAGCACAACATTAGAAAGTTTCAACAGCACAATATTAGAAAGTTTCAACAGTACAGTATTAGAAAGTTTCAACAGTACAGTATTAGAAAGTTTCAACAGTACAGTATTAGAAAGTTTCAACAGCACAACATTAGAAAGTTTTAACAGTACAGTATTACAGTATTAGAAAGTTTCAACAGCACAATATTAGAAAGTTTCAACAGTACAGTATTAGAAAGTTTCAACAGCACAACATTAGAAAGTTTCAACAGTACAGTATTAGAAAGTTTCAACAGCACAACATTAGAAAGTTTAAACAGTACAGTATTAGAAAGTTTCAACAGCACAACATTGGAAAGTTTCAACAGCACAACGTTAGAAAGTTTCAACAGTACAGTATTAGAAAGTTTCAACAGTACAGTATTAGAAAGTTTCAACAGCACAACATTGGAAAGTTTCAACAGCACAACATTAGAAAGTTTCAACAGTACAGTATTAGAAAGTTTCAACAGCACACTTAGCTCTCTCTTTTACACTTAGCTTTCTCCATTTCACATTTAGCCTTTACTTTTTTAGACTTAGCTTTCTTTTTCAAACTTTACTGCCATTTTCGCACTTGGCTTCTCTTTTATCCATTTACTTTCTTTTTCACACTTGGCTTTCTCTGTTTCACTCTTAGCTTCATTTTCCACTAAATTAGCTTTCTCTTTTTCACACCGAGCTTCTCTTTTTTTCACAGCTTATCTTTTTTCACACTTAGCTTTCTCTTTTCACTAGTTTT